TTTCTCGGAATATTTAAAAAAAGTAAAACTGAATCAGTGAAATATATTTAATATGTTATAATAATTCTAATAATAACTGTTGTATGCAGTGTGTTCACGAAGACTAAGAGAAACAGTTTGCTTCAAAGGTTCATACCAAAATCTACACCTTAAAAGTTTTTTCAAAGTATATTTCTTTACTTAGAAGGTTTACCTGGATGTCCTGCATTTTGTTCCAAGCTAGAAAAAGACATGGATCAAGGTATGTATATATGTCTGTATATTGAAGTCTTTAACGTGTTTAATAAGGATGGTTATTTAACTCGGATATACATTATCTGTATAATTTTAACCGCCTCCGTGGTCGAGGGGTTAGAGTCGATGACTTCTAATCCAGTTACCTCTCTGGCGTGGGTTCGATCCCCGGGAGATGCTTTGGTAGTTTAGCGGGGAGGAAGGTAGTCTAGTACTGGTGTAACTCTCCAGGAACGATGGTTAGGAAACTATCCGCCTATATGACTGAAATACTGTTGGAAAAAGGCGTTAAATCAAACAAACAAACAAACAAACAATCTGTATAATTTTGATACACTAAGCATTTTAAATTAATCCTGATTCACTTTTAAAATTGATTTGTTTGTTTTATAACCTTAGGAATCTATCTCATGCGTCCTATTAATTCTAAAACTATCTATCAATTCCAAGTTATTTCAAGTTTATTGAAATATTTGCGTCAAAATCCTGTCACATTCATTCGTAATTGCAATAAGGTGATACATGTACAATGTTACCGTTACCTATGCATAAAAGCTGCCATGCAGGTTTTCACTAAAGGACAAGAATCTATGTATAAACGAATACAGTCACGTGAGCACGAGTTGTTCTTGCACATTTTTAATACGCGTGACACGGGGCGCAAATATAAATATTAAAAAAAGGCTTACTGCATTGACAACTATGGTATGTTCATTATCAAAGCATAAAAGGGGTGATAATATACGCACATATCATCAAAATTGTGATAGCTCGAACACTGTACGACCGTTAATTTGAAGAAACACGGGTCATATAAGAAAATCAGAAACGATTTTAATGTATTATATTTGCAAAAAAATTGTTCTTACTTCTTGTTTTAATATGCCAAATGCCATAAAACAACTTTTCCCTTTCTCATCAGTATTTCACGTTGAACACGTTTTGGATTATGGATATTGCGTACACCCGGCGTTGATTTGTTGCAGAAATTGAGAAAATTGCGATTAAACTGACAGTTAGTTTCAGTAGGCTCGAGGTATTTTATTGAAGAACCTTTTTGAAAAACATATGTTTAACCTTTCTTCTCTCTATTTTGTTCGAAAATGTCTTGCACTTTTTTAAGAAAATTTAAATTATTATACTACATACACTATACAATGTCAAGATACTGCGTTCACACACTTAATTCAATGATACTGCATAGAGCCTTATGATGTGTAGCACGGGCGACTAAAAAAAATATATATGACGCGTCTTTCCTCTGAATTGAAATATAAATGTCATTGTGGGAAATTGTTCGAGATTTCACATGGTTTTAAAACAAACTAAACGAAGAAAGAGCTAAACGAAGAAATTCGGGTATATCATTCTTTTTTAATGTGTCCTTTACAGACACTCAATAATAGGTGAATGGAATTTTCAGGTTACATGCACGCTTAAGAATTGTTTGTCAAATAAAATTGAAAACAAGCATATAATACGATAACATCTCATTATAATTATATTTCCCTTCCTGATTTTTTGCCAAATGCGTTAAATGGTAAATTGAATTGTACTAAAGAATTGTTTCTTCAGATGGAAAAAGTCGGAATTCAAATCATTTCTTCACTATATGTTGATGTTCCATGAAATTTGAATTGTGTTTATTTTTCATTGGTATTTTAAGAGTTTAGGCATGTATAAAAAGTTATAAGTTCACATGCGTCAACAATCATCTTCTCTGAAACTGCTGAGTAGATTTACCTCAAATGTCTGTAGCATCCTTGTGACTGTCACACTCAAATATGCTCATTTCATTTCAATTGACCCCTTTTAGGGGTCGACAAAGCTTAAAATAGAAAAAAAAATTAAACATCTTCTTCTACTAAATTAAAAAAAAACTTTGTAGCATTCTTAGGTAGTCTTTTATCAAATTTGCTCATATTAATTTGATTGGATAATTTTAGGGACCGCTAAAGCTAAATGTAGAAAAAAAAACTTTAATCATCTTCTTCTACTGAACTAATAGGTGGATGACCACCAAAATGTGTCTTTAGCATTTTTAGGTAGATTTTTTGTCAAGTTTGTTTATGTTAAATTGGTTGGCCCCTTTTAGGGACCGCTAAAGCAAAAATGTCCCAGACCATGGTGTTTCTTCAAACTATAGTTTAATAATGAAAGGGAAATAATTCAATATGCCCCCTTCAAAGAAGTTGGGGTATAATATTATTGCTTTGCATTTGTCTGTCTGTCGGTCGGCCGGTCCGTTTCTGATAAATAACTAGAAAACACTTAGACCTTGGAACTTCAAACTTGGTATGATGATTATACATGACAAGTAGATGACCTTTATTGATTTTGGAGTCAAGGGGTCAAAGGTAACATTGACCTTGAAGTTGAGAATGGTTTCCGATCAATCACTAAAGTACGCTTCGATTAAGAAAATTTAAACTTCTTATGATGATTCTTCATGACCAGTAGATGACCCTCTATATAATCTGGGGTGAAAGGTCAAGGTCACATTGACTTTGTAGTAAAAATAGTTTCTGATAAATAACTAAAGAACTGTTAGGCCTAGGAACTTCACACTTTGTGTGACGTTTGTGCAAGACCAGTAGATGACCCCTATTGATTTTATGATTCATAAAATGTATGCATATATTTTTTGGTATGATTTGTGATAACTTTGTTATAAAATTGCTGCAGTCAACCTTTACGGTCACAAATACCAAGTGACTATTCATGACCAGTAGATAATTCTTTATGATTTTATGGTCACAGCATCAGAAGTCAGTCATAAATACATGACCACATAACTGATTGTCTGCCGATAGGGGACATACATGTTTACAAACATATCTTGTCTTAAAAAAATATTGACCGGTGGTGTCATCCTGACAAACAGTATACATGTATATCTAAATACTTAGATTATGTAATAAGTAAAAATAGAAAGATCGCAATTCTGAAAGACAGTCATATGCATATTTTATCACATATTAATGGATTGATAATCATCAAACTTTGTCCGAAGCATTCTTAAAGGGTTTTTCATCAAGTGTGCTCATTTAAGGGGCAGCCTGAGCTGAAAATATAAAAAAATCAAGTAGCGTAAGTGGAAATGCTTTGCTCACCAGATGAATAGTAACTATGATCTTGGGACATTTGTGAAAAAAGAACAAATCAATGTCTGGAAACTTCATAATTAGAGAGGCAAGTTTAAGTTGAGGTGGACATGTTTTAATCACTGTAAAACAGTCGTTTCTGGTGACCGATTCAGGGCCATCATGGCCCTCTTGTTTATAAATACATGTCTACACTTGAAGTGATTATTACATATATATTATGGATAAGACGAAGTACATGTTTTGATTGGGAACTTATTCCAATAATTTTCACATGTAGATACTTTCCTTTCGTGAATTACATAGTGGAATGTCTGGAAAGGTTATTTATATACCCTGAATGATTTACCACATTTTCCAAATTTATGTTGTTTTTTGTCCTTATGCTTATCTTGGTGATCATGAACGATGTCCAACAATGACATTCATACTTGCGTTCAGGGGAATGACGCTATATATATACACGATTTAAGTAATGAATGTCAGAACAAAGGCCACTTGACTACATAGGTCTCATTTGTAAGAGATATCTTACTGGCCTCGTCCTTTCTGCCAGAGGCTCCACCGGCGAATAATTCACCACAAAATTGGCATACTTTCATTTTCTAAAATGCGATGCAAATTTGACAGTAAAAATAATTTATTTGAAGATGTAGAGTAGAAAGAAAACATTTTCAGGTTAGAAATCTAGAATGAGATAAAAAATTTGATGAAAAATATTGAACTCCAAACTTTGTACTAGGATCTAAACTTTAAACAATTTTAAGGGAATGTTTGAATCGTTAATTTATACTTTTTTTTGGTTTGCCCGCTTGATCTCATCATGAATTATAAACTGCTTTGAAAAAAATGTGTACGTAGTATCTATTACACAATTGATTAGATTTAACGGCGCATTGACGCATAGCCGAACATTATAATTGTTAACATAACATGATTTAACCTCAAAAATGTAATCGCAGGGTTAGTACAATGTCATAAAATGAGTTTAATTTTAGAATACAGACTTATTTCTTTTAAGTAACCGATAAATGTTTTTAGTTTAAACATATTTTATTCAAAATCATGCACAGTTCATAATATACAATCATTCAATATATAAAATGTTGAAATGGATTAGAACTAAATATATAAAATTTTATATAGTTCTTCTCCGAGATAAATGTTTTAGAAGTAGCTCAGTTAAAAAGTTTTGAAAGTGAATTTACTCGGTAATACCTATCACGAACCTGTGCAAGATCACGAACTTCAAGGAAAAAATGTTTGACAGTAAAGAAGTCATAACAAAAATATGTACGCAGTATCTTGATATTTTGAGAGTGTACGCAATGTCATAATTTCTATTTTCTGTAAAATGTGTGTTTCCGACAATTTAAAAAGAACAAAATTTGAAATTAGACATTCGAAATAGATTATAAAACTGCCACTTTACCCGCCATTTTTTCAATTTCTGAACATTAAACATTTTGAGAAGCTGTCGACTACTTTAATTCCAGTTGGCTCGGTTTTTACTCCTTCCCCGTGCTTCTGCTGATGTAAATGCACGAAAAAGCTGATTAAACTGTTTAATGTTATGCATATCAAGGAGTTATTTAATATACCTCCTTGCAAACGTATTAGTTGATAACTTTTGAGTTAGAGAAAATTTATCTTTTTAGGAAAACAGTACTTCTCTATTTTTGAGGGAAAAACCCCTATAAAAGAAAACCATCCCCTTGTGATTATGGTATGTTGTTATTTTATCAAATGACAATTTTTTTAAATATACAAATTTGAATCAACGCTTTATTTTAGCTCGACTTTTTTTGGAAGAATTAATAGAGTTATTGTCATATCGGCGTTCCCATTGCCTTGCACATTGCCGTTGCCTTTCGCAATTTTAGCATAACTTCTCATATCATAATAAATAATTATCGTAACTTTTTAATTATTATTATTATTTCAAACTTTTTCTTGGTGTATTGTCTTCATACTTTTTTTGGTGTATTGACTTCAAACTTTGCCATAGCAACCTTTGAAAAATATCTTCAAGTACACAAGACAAAGTTTGACTTCCATTCATAAATGGTAAAATGCATGAAATTCGCATTTTGTCCTGATTCTTGCTATAAGTAGCTATGACTTAGTTATTGGATTGTCTACAAAATTGAATATAAGACTCATTTAGGCTAGGATAGACCTTCAGGTACATTAGACATACCTTGGCCTTCAATTATACATGTCATTGACCATTCAGAGGAATTTTCAGAGAAAACCTACTTAAACTTTTTAAAGTCAGTGGTTTCAGTTAATATACATATTTGTAAAAGAAACAGTAAATTTGAGAAAAAATGACGTACGTTATCACGATCAAACCGGTGGAAAATTCTCTTGCTTCGATTCTAGTGACACGCATTTCAAAATAACTACCGGACGAAATATCATGAAATAAAATCCTGTGTGCCCGGAAAATTGTGGATAAGGTTAATATATATACCTTTATACAAGAACATCACGAATTTCAGAGAAGAGAGGAAAAAACTTACTTTTTGGCTGCATCTGCCATCTCGTTTGTTTGGGTAACGAACGGCGTGATTCTCCCCCGTGGATGTGTGTCATAAAATCTTTAATATAGGGTTTTTTTCCCGGCTGTATAACATATTGTTTAATCTGCAAATATGTTAAATTGTCACGGAAACAATTTACCTCTTAATGACAGCTCTTGTTTAAAAATTTATTCAGAATATTTAAAAATATTCATTTAAATCAGGTAAAATGCAAAAGAAAAGAACTGCTATACCACCCTTTAGTATCGGCCTATCTTAAACGGACATGGAAACCAACAGGTATTATCGCTATAAGTGCGTACTTTACATTGTATGCTGTTTTTCTGGCACTGCTAACTGGCTTCACATTGTCACTTAAAGCACCATATCAGTTTAATAGGTAGGTAATGAAAAATGTATAAATCTAAAGCATTTAATGTTTCTCAAAATTATGTTATTTAAATGTTGATGTATTTTAAAATTATGTTATTTAATTGTTGATGTATTTTTAGATACAAACTGATACATAAAATGTTCGATCTCAAATAATTTGCCGATATTGATATATTAATGAAAATAATATTGGATAGATAAATACTATAATTTCAAGTTACAAATTAAGTTTGAAGTTGCTAAAGAGTTAAGAATATTTTGTGCATCAAATTTACAATCAAACATCATTTTTTTATTCAATGGATAAGTATGCTCGAGTTTCCCTATTCGTTTGTGTCCGGTCTTGAATCGTTATTGGTATCTGTTGCACTAAAGTTCTGAACTGATCAACTGACCTTTTCAAAGCTTTATGATGTTTCGAGATATTAAAAACAATGGATAGGAATTCACATTGTTATTCATTTGAAACCGTGTTCGTCGCCGTAAGCATCAAATCACACTAAATTAACGTGTACTTGTACATGCAAATCTTACTTATGTTTCAATTAATTAGTTTCAAGATCAACAATTTCTTTTTAGAAACAAAAAAAAACTTTAAATGATCTCTGTTTCAGAAATTCGTCATCAAACACATCTAACTGTACAGATACTGTTGACCATATTCCTGCATTTGCGTCAAAAGCAAAATATGCACTCCATGTGCTGGCTCCAATAGAGATTATTATCGAGGTATTTTATTTGTTTTTGAAAAGAAATTCATTGGAACAAATTAAAACAGTATATTAAATTATTTCATCAGATTTAGGTATCAATCTTCACATTTGTTGTGCATATTTAATGGGGTGATGACTTCTTTTTTTTAAACAGCCCTTGGCATTTTATCACAAAATGGCAAGTTATTGCAAAAGTTCTTCTAAAAATAATCTTAAACAAGATTTTTTTTTTTGATGACATACTTTTCTTCGGACAATTCTAGAGTAAAATTCATATTCACATCTTTTTGCATTTATAACAAAATTCCAATTATTAAAAGTTGTTTTCATATATAGTTTTTGTTGGTAAACTTTTTGGTTAGATATTGCAAAGCATTATTTTTGTGATATTATTCATGATAGATTACAGTACTGTGCATAATGTATTGGAAGTGTGGGTGGAAGTATGGTGCCAAGTTGAAAAGGTTTTGCGATCTTGCAACGTATATTTCTGCTTTATTGTTTATTTATGATACAAATGACTGCCATGATACAGGTTTTAGGAAGGTATGAAACATATTAATATTAAATTGAAAAACACAATTGCTTAACCTGAAAACTAGAGTCCTTAATCGTTTGAAATGATCCCATTTTAGCATGTTTATAATAAAAGGATAAATACGTTTCATCTTTATTTATACAAGTGTTGACCTTTGAATGATATAATGTTCGTAATGACGTCAGCCATCCGACAAAATTGTACCATGACGATAAACGTATCGAATGGGTTGTCATTATACAATGTTATTCTATGAGGCCCTCTGTTCTGTATACTTTTTCTTAACCATTGATATACCGAACATAATTTGTTTTAATTTGTATTCTCTAACATTTCACAAAATGACTAGTTAGACTTGGAAAATCTTAAATTCACATACATACTGGCGCAAAATAAAAACTATGCTATTTCAAATTGGCTATATTTCTCAGAATAGCTGGGTGGTTTCTTTCATCTGAGTTCTTGCACACTTACCTACGTATTTGCAATACATTGACCGACATGTTATCGGATCATTGTACTTATTAATAAGATGTTTTTTCGCTGCTATGCAACTTTTTGCAGGCAAAATTGAGCGATATGATTTTCATGGCCGATGTACTGAAATTTCACGCACTATAACATTACAGTTCAAATTTAATGATCAATATGTGGCAGCCTTTACAGCAATCTATTAGCAACAGCAATTACGTTCATTTAGGCAGGCCGAAGGTAACGACTGCACGTCAAGTCAAGAACATTACGTTAACGCATACAGGTTTAAGGTAATTTTGATTTTTTAATTTATATAGGTATTTATTGGCTAAATTATGCTAAATCTAGTAAAAAATATGGAACCTGATATTTTCAAAGTGTAATAAAATCAAAACTAGACGGTAAAAGTATTTCATATTTTACAAGATCAACCAATATACTTCTTTAAAAATTTAGGGAAACTTTGAAAACAGGCACTTATTTGGGTAAATTCAAAGGATTTAGGCTCCCTAAGTAGGAAAATTGTCAGACACGTGGTAAAAATGGGTGGGGTAGGGTAACATTTTTATACAGATTTCATAAATTTTAAGTAGAAACCATAATTTTGCTTATGTGGATTGTTAGCTGAATGGTACTATTTGTTTCTTACCAAAAATTAATGGGAAAACATTTTTCATTAGAATGTTATTGCAGATTATTTAAAGGTTCCTCATTTCTTAAAAAGGGCCCTCATAACATCCTAGCTTTAGTTCAGAAAAGTGGTCATAAGTTGATTTCCGTACGGTAAAGTTTGTTTAAATTGTGCATACAGGTGTACTTTAAGGTATATATCTGACCTATGATGTCAATTTTTTAGTTCCTCTTTATAGTGCCCATAAGGGTCGCAATACCTTAAACGGCAACATGTACCTTGAGCCATTTTTGGCATATCCCGACACTTCGTTCTGAATCGTTTGACCAGTAATGCAACCAATATATCAAGGCCAGGTTATTTATCCCCGTAATAGTAATTTTCCGAACTTTTCGACTCAACGTCATTTACGTTGGACTTATGTCCTGATAGCAAAGGTATTGTTAAGCAACGAGTCACGCTTTAATCTGAGCGTTGAAATGGGAAAGTACGCGTATTTTTCGCATTGGAGGTTGGTCAGTGTATTGCAGATCACTTTTGTTGTAGAAGTACCGCTATGGTGGGATAATGGGTGACAGAATAAGAAATTAAATTGGGTTGTCATTCCTAGCAGTTTGCATGCCTAAAGTTATACTGCCTCTGTTCTTTGTCCAGTTGACACGAGTTCTTTGCGTAATTTTTTGATGTACAATGATGCCAGCTGACCACACACTAGATTTTACGCAAAATTACTGGTTAGAAACAACGTTAACGTAATCCATGGCCAGCTTGCTCACCGGACAATAATTCCATTGAGCACATCTGTGATCTTTTTGGACGGAGGACATAAATAATTGATGTTTTTTAATAACATTCGTGACCAAAACTTGCCCTTGATTTAAGTCATAGGAAAGATGGACATAGTTGGTACTTAAGAAATTTCAGAAATTGAAACGCACAGAATTATAAAGACAATTACAGAAACATTGACAATACAAATGCGCGGGTCTTAATTTTAATCACTTATGAGTTTAGCGAGAATGAAACAGCGGCGCTTATCTTTTAATTAAAACAAAACACCCTATATCATGTTGGGAGGTGGATAACATAGATTTTGGTACAAATTGTTAAAATGTTTCTTTACTACAACAGCCTGCAAATATTAGTAAAGCTCAAGTGCATGGTTTCTATTTTGGGTCGGTATAATTATATTAGTATAGATGCACAATGATCTTAATTATTTGTCCAAAATACTTAAATTTTCATTTGTCATATTGTTTTATGGTCTTTATTTCCTATAATTAAGTTGTCAATAAGAACAGGTAATTCTTTTAACCAGAATATTTTACATTTGTATACAGTGAACATGAAAATTTAAGATAAACATAGTTCTTTATGTTATTTTGGTTTGAACGTTATGCAATAAAATTAAATTTGAATGTCTATAATTATCTAGGAATGGCAATGGACGTGTGGCACAATTTCTATATTCCTGGCCTGGATAAATTTGTTGGGTACCTGTAGGAGATTTGAGGGGTTCGGTGTATATGTTGTTATGCTTTTCCGATTAGTAAAAATATTTACGAAATTTTTACTAATATTTTCGCTTCTGATTGTTCCATTTACAATCTCCTTCCATTGCCTTTTTCAGAACCAGGTAAATATTAATAAATATAGTGATCACATATTTCTTGTTATGGGTTAAGTCATTAAATCATTACCAATTAAGTACATTCATGCAATTTAGAATTAATTATTCGGGTCGTATTAGTTTGTTTATGAACAAAGCAAAAAGTGCAAGCAAACTATCATTTAGGTGCACAAGCATCTTCAAGTATACGTGTATGTCATATATATATCTATATATTTAATTCATTATTTACAACACCTTTATGCAGAAAACAGTTGTTATAGTCTGATTTTATTGACCTGTCAATAATGAATACATTATAGCACTCATTTAAATATTCGACCCCACTTCGGTTTTGTCCGTTTATTTTACGAGAATTAATATGGAGTATATCACTAACGTTTGGAAAACTCCCACTAACTTAATGAAGGTTCTCGTAACATCCGCAATAGCACAGTCGGTTAAGTGATTGCCTAATGCATGAGAGGTCCGAAGTTCGATCCCTTCTTTTGACATTCTTTTTAGACTTATTCTCTCTTTATTTTAGGTATATTTTAAAGAAAATTGTCAAGCGCTTGCAAAATTGTCTACACGGAATGAAACAACTAAGAAACACTGAATTGTTCCATTTTATATTTTATTTTACGGCACTGAAATTACATTTATTGATTATAATCCGAATGAATTTTCAGTATCAATTATATACAAAAATATAGTATTTACAAAAGAGTACAAAACATATTAAAAACAGAACAACCATAACTTCAAAAATTTTGAAAATAGTTATGAATAAGAAAAAACCCTGGACATACACTGTCTCGATCTTACAACATGTAAGACATTTTGATATTATATACCCGTGGTTTACCCTATTGCGCTATAACGGTCAGTGTAACTAATTTACAGAAACTAGATGAATTTAATCACATCTTACTGCGTACCTCTCACGGAATTTACCGAACATTTATCGAATATTAATATATTCTGTGCATTGACCGTATAATGAGTATGGAATTGACAGGTTAATAAAATCAAACAATAAGGGGTTAAGATTACTACAAATAGTAATTACATCATTGGTTAAATGTTTAGAAGAAATTGAATCGAAACATGTGCTTTATGTTTGTGCTAACTATTTAGGGCTGCTATCGCGCAAAGATAGTGTGAGCGTTTTTATGCACTCAAAAAGGAGAGTAGAGCATATAATCGCCGCTTTGTCCGTCAGTTCGTCTGCATTGTCTTGTTTAGGACCGAACTTAGATGTCAATAAGAAACTTACGTAGAGTAAAAGAACTGTAACACTGCCTTGCCTAATTTTGTGTTATTGCCCTTTTCATGTTTACAATTTAAAGTTTGTCCGGAACATAACTCTGAAACTACAAAAGGTATCAACAAGAAACAGTGTACTAGGTAGATAGATCTCATCGAGTATATGTGCAATGGATAAGAACAGTAGCTTTGCCGTACCTAATGTGGAGATATTGCCCTGGACTTTGTCCGACATAGTAATCTGAAACTACAAAAAGTATTAATTATTATAAGAAACTTTGTAGGGAGACAAAATGTCATTCAGTAACAGTGTAGTGCATAAGAACTGTAACTATGCCTTGCCGAATATTAGAGTTATTGCTATTTTCATCTAAACAATTTGTCTGGAACTTGAAAAGACATTGGAAAAAATACCTACAACTGTATTTGACAAATAAATACAGCTATGTTGTACTGAAAATGCTAGATGTTTGTCATATAAGAATACTTTGTATCTGAACAGTGGATATTGTCTTTCAATTGACATGATGAAATATGACCTTGATCTCTAAATGCACTAGACAATACTGCATAAGGCAAAGATCATTTGTATAGAATAAAATAAAATCTTTTTTTTTTGTTTCCTTCTTTTCAATGTTGTATTAATGCATTGACATCGCATTTTTTCACAACTGTAATCCTGTTCATATGTGTATAATGTCCACAATATAACTCTAACAGTATGAAAACTTCTGGCCCTGGAACACTCGGTAGATATATCCTATAGAAGAGTGCATTGCACAAGAATCTACTTGCTTCATAATGTTGCTGTTATTGTCCTTTGTTAATACCATTTGTTTGCATATCTACTTCTCCAGAAAAGAGCAGTAAAATTGCATATTCATGCAGAATCTTAGGCCA